TATTTTTGGACTTTGCCATCCTCTACACACTAGGCACAACCACGTTCCATGATGTAAGCACAGCCCAGCTTGGCCCAGCTTGGCCCAGCCTATACTCAGAAGGGAGACTGCCAAGGGGGTCATAGGAGGCAGCAGTGATATGAGACCCTGTCCTGTGAGTCAGCCCTGATGCCAGCTGGGTGAGGTAAGTGTCCGTCGGGGGCACCATTCACCTGCTGGCTCCTCACCTCTCTTTGGCCACAATCCTCACCCAGCAAGCTGCCGAGAATGAGAGTAACTGGAAAAGTGTGTTTCCTGTGGCTCCTGGCTGGAGAGCAGTGGCCTGGATTCCATACATTGGTAAGAGGATGATAGACACTTAGTGTCTAACCCGGGCCTCCGGGGCTGTTCTGGTCACCTCCTTTGTCTTCAGACTCTGGATCCAGGCTCCACTGCAGTGACCCCTTTGGGAGTCAAACAACCCTTTCACAGGGGCCTCCAATGACCATTGGAAAACACAGATATTTATGATTCATAACAGTAACAAAATTACAGTTATGAAGTAACAGTGAAAATAATGCTATGGTTGGGGGGTCACCACAACACAAGGAACTGTATTAAAGGGTTACAGCACTAGGAAGGTTTGAGAACCACTGCTCTACCACCTTATCTGAGATACTTGATGAGCCTCACCTACATAGCTGGTCCAGCCACCACATACTGTCACCCCATTACCAATACAAGCTGCAATCTCAGGTTAAGAACCAATGAACCTTTTGTATTTCCCAAATCCAGAAGTGGGAAAAGAAAGAGTAAAAGTCTCACATGAGCAGCAGCAAGCTACCCTGGGCTCTGGCTCTTTAGTTTGTGACAGGGAATGTGCTGTAATCATAATGAAAGGGGGTTGGACTGTGAATTTGCACTCTGTCTTCATGATAGGGAACATGGGTTGAAAACAGGGGGATAGGTTTGTAGGCAAGATTTTTCTTTGGGGCCACTGGCTCCCAAATAACCACACAGAGACTTATTATTAATTATAAATGTTTGGCTGATAGCTTGGGCGTGTTGCTAATTAGCTCTTACATCTTAAATTAACCCATATTTCTTATCTACTTTCTACTATGTGGAATTACCTTTTTTAACATGGCATGCTCATCTCCTGCTTCTTCCACGTCTGGCTGGTGACTTTTTTTCTCTTGAGCTCTCTTTTTGTCCACAAGTCCCTCCTAACCTCTACATGCCTAGCTATTGGCCATTTAGCCTTTTATTAAACCAATAAGAAGGCACCTTGGCAAAAACACGTCTTCACAGTGTACAAAAAGATTATTCTATAACATAGGTTACTAAAGGAGATTATGGAGAGCCCTGCCCTTGGACCCCATGGCTCAAATAAAGCAATTGTAGCAAGACCAGAAAGAGAGCTCCCAAGAAAAGAAAAAGCATTTGTGATTTTGTGATTCTTTGACACCATGAGAGTAAGTCGGAACACATCTGAAAGATCGCTTGGAAAACAGGACCTTACAAGAACAACCTCAAGCTCAATAGGTAGGGATCTCTCACTCTCCTCCCTTTTTCTCCTCCCCTCTCTCTCTATTTTGTGAGTGTGTGTGTGTGCACATAGCAAATATGGGAGCCAGAGGCTAACATTGGAATGTCTTCCTCAATTGCTCTTCTCCCTTATTATTATCTTGAGACATGGTCTCTCTCTTTCTCTGAAGCTGGAACTCACACGCTCTAAGATCCTCCTGTCTCTGCCTCCTAGCACTGTGGATATAAGTGCATACCATCATGCTCAGCTTTTACATGGGTACTAGGGATCCAAAGTCTGGTCCTCAAGTTTGTGCAGCGAGTAGCCACTGATCCATCTTCCTAGCTTTAGATACAGAAAATAATGTGCTTCTTAGGCCTCCAGCCAGTTAATAGGTAATTCATAGCAGGCCTCCTAGTCCCATATGTATGTGACCTAGCACATCAGTTTGACCTCAGTGGTTGTCATATCCATGCCGGTCACTACAGGTCTAGCAACCTACCAAGAACTAGATGGCTGAATGTGTAGATACATTCAACTCCCCAGAATCAATGGCTCCAAAAGACAGTTGAGAGAGAAGCAGGTGGCGGGTGGCCCTTAGAGAAGACATTGATGATCCCCATGGGACATGCCTCTGGAGCATCTTCTAAAACACTAGCAGTCTGCTCTAGGACCTGCCCTTCCTGCTCTCTCAGAAATGGCTTCTCTCTGTCCCTCCAAACCAGATCTGGTTACACTGGACTTGGAATCATCCAAGCCCTTTTCTGCTGTGAAATGATTTATTTGGACGCATGTATCAGAGCATGACTGAAGGGTATCTGAAAGGCTAGGAGGCCAGCTGGGCAGCACTGCCCCAGAATGCCCTGCAAGGCAACACTCATATCATCTATGGAAGTCCCTTCTGCTCTTTCCTCCCTGTCTCTCTTCAGAAAGGCATGGAAGGAAGCCAAGAGTATCTCTGGAACCCTGAGAATCAGAGTAGAGAACTGGGTATGTTGCAAACAGGAAGAGCATGGAGGATGTGTGTATGTGGGTGTGGCTTATGCCAGGGACCCCAGTCCAGTTCTCATGTAGCTATCGTCACATTTATGGTTGTGAGTGGGTCTTCAAACCTCCTGGTATTATCCTCTAATTTCATTTCTGAAGCCTGGCTTACCAACTAGTATGAATTTTTTAAATCCCATTGGACCCCGAATATCCCTTTGAATATACAGCACCTGGTTCTCTTCAAAGAAAGCACTTGAACTCAGAATGGTCCAGACCAGGGTATGAAACAAGAGAGTAGTGGGTAACAGTCAGTTCTCCAGAAAGAAAAAAAAAAGCATACACAAAATAGTTTTGCTGATATAAGGATTTATGGTGAAAATGTATTACAAGTCATAAAATATAAATGAGATAAGATTGATTAGAGTCTTCATTGTAACCTCCATGGAGCCAATTGCTTCTCACACTGTTTGCTATTTTTTGCCAAACGTGTATCTGTAGGGAGTCCAGGGTTGTAGTTCACCCACAATTTGACCAAGGGCTAATTTATAACCTGCCTGCAATCCCCCTGACATTTTAGCAGGTACAAGCCAAACGGAACTCCTGGGACGAAACAGAACGTGACTCTAGTATTCGAATGAGCTGCCCCCTGCCTGCCCCGCTCCCCCCACGAATGAGCAGTGAACCCCCGAGAGCCAGGTCTGTGCTTGTCAAGCTACATGGATTCAGCAGCGGCGGCACCATCACAGCCTGGCCAGTCAGCCATCCCTCTGCTCCCGGGATGGAGCCTGCTCTCCTTAATTCACCCTGAGAAGATAGCCAAGCAAGCAGGATCCGATCAAGGAGGAACAGGTGTCCAGAGGGAGTGGGTCCAAGGATGGATGGTGACAAGTGGTGGGTGGCCAAAAGCACTCCATAGCAAAGTGAATTAGAGATCGGAGGGAAGAAGTAGCCACGGAGCAGAGGGGTAGAGGTCACGGAGGGCCTGCCTGGCAGGACCGTGAGCAAAAAAGCAGGGCAGAAGGCTGTCTGCTCTAACATCCAGGCCCCACAGAGATAGATCCTTTTGCTCAACAGCTATCAACTGTCCTCTGTATGCAAGATACTATTCTAAGATAAAGAAAGTCTCTACGCTTATGGAAAATATAAAAAATATTACAAAGGAAGAGATTCGATACACAGTAAACAAGGTGTCCGTCCGTCCCCCCCAACCCCCAGTAGACTTTACTTCAAAGGAAGGAAGCTCTTAATCCCTAGGGATGTTAGCCAGGTGATTGACAAAGACAGGCAAGGCAGGCTGAGCAAGGAACAACCAGCCTTTCACACAACACTTCTCTCAGGACCCTGGATATGCTCCTGGGGAGGCCTCACTAACAGGGCTGCAGGACTTGCTAAACTTGTTGGCTAGGGGGAGGGAGTGGGGGCCAATCTCAGGTGAAGACCCGAGGGCCTGATGGTCCCTGCAGCCAGCTGTGTAAACAGACACCCCTTCCATCATGGAGACCCAAATGGGGAATATTAGAAGAAAGGGAGGCTGTCCAGAAAACAGCTGCTCCTGTGGCCTGAGCTAATGTTTCTTTGTCCTTCCCAAATGCCCCTGTAGCCACAGACTTACTCACCCCAGCGCGCGCGCACACGCGCGCACACACACACACACACACACACACAGAGAGAGAGAGAGAGAGAGAGAGACAGAGACAGAGGAGAGACAGAGATAGAGACAGAGAGAGAAAGAGACAGAGACAGAGAAAGACAGGAGAGAGAGAGAGAGAGAGAGAGAGAGAGAGAGAGAGAGAGAGAGAGAGAGCATCCTGCTGGCTGCCTCAGTCTTTCTAAGAACGGAAGAGACCCCTGGGCTGTGGAGTCATGAATGAGAGGCCTACCGAATAAACACACCCTCAGCCACTTGTTCTTTGCAGACCCCGAGGGGAGTACTGGAGCCTCCAGAGAGCTCATAGTGTGATACACACGCCACGATCACTTAATAACTATAGAAATGATTAAGTTTCCCAAATGATTCCGTGTCATTTTCCACAGGTGGCCTCTTGGGTCCCCAAAGGAGACTCTTGTCCTCTTCCTACATCCTGTGTCCTCTTCCTGTGTCTCTGCTCTACGCTGAAGACATGTAGAGGGAGATTCACCCAATACTTTACAAGGAAAACAATTTACACAACCCCTTCTTTTTAACCAATAATAGTCGTCGTCGTCGTCGTCGTCATCGTCATCGTCGGTCTTCACTGTGACTTTGGTAGTTAGGGATGCTCCCTTCCCTGAATTCTGGAGCAGGCAGGCAGGCAGGTGGAAGACGAGACTCAGAGAGAGAGAGAGAGAGAGAGAGAGAGAGAGAGAGAGAGAGAGAGAGAGAGAAAAGGAGCCATAGTCAGGAAAGAAGCCGAGCAAAGGCGTCCAGACAAGCCCTGTGTCAGCCTCCTCAAGGTCTAGATGCACCTCCTCGCAATCCCATCATCCCCTGTCCCAGCCCAACCCCTTCTCACCCCAGGGCGGCTGCCCCAAAGCTCAGGAACTAATGACACTCTTTGTGGTGGTTAGTTTTATTTGTCAGTTTGACACAATCTAGAATCACCATCTAGACTCTGTGGGGGATTATCTCGATTATGTTGATTGAGGTGGGAAGAGCCACCTACAATTCCTGGCACCGTTTCCTGGGCTCGGAGTCCCCGGACTGGATAAAAAGGAAAAGGGTAAGTGAGCAATAAGCGTGTGTCACCCTTTGCTCTCTGCTCCTGCCTGTGACTGCAAACCCTGTTACCGTGGGGATGGGCTATAACCTGGAATTATAAACTGAAGTAAAGCCTACCCCCCCACCTCCCACCCCCCACCCCCACCTCCACCCCGAGTTGCGCTTGGTCAGGATATTAAATCTCAGCCACAGAAATAAAAGTAGGGCGCCTCTCTCTGCTCTTTGGCTCTCCTCCTTGGTTTCCTTCACGGCGGACTTGACTCATTTTGATCCAGCCCTGAATGATGACCATTTTCCCGAGGCTAACAAATCCCTTTGACTGATCCTTCATGCCACACAGGCTGAGCCTGGGAGGGACATAAGTCGACCTCCCTGGCAGGCAACATTCCTGGGCATAAGCTCTGGTTCCTGCCACAATACCAGGGCAGAGCTGTGGGTCCCAGCCCATGCCAAGGACTTCAGCACAGGCCAGGAGAAAAATCAACAAGTGCTCTGAAGAGCTCTCAGAATGTTCCTATTTCCACTTCTGCAAGGAGGGGACCCTGCTCTATCTCTTTACCTTATAGCAACAAGCAGGCGGTACGAAAAGACAGGAAGAATCTTCAACCGTGGCAGATAAGCTGGCACATTGTGGCATGTCAGCTAGCTCCCAGTACCACTGAGAGATGCAAAGACATATTGTTTTGATGGGCCATATTCCCGGCTTGTCGTGGTCCACCTTCTTCCTCCAGCAGCTGCCCACGACCCAGCACAAGGACAGATGACCTTGCTATTGTGATTTTCACAGAAGCCCTGCAAAGGCACCCCTTATCTCTCTTGAGAGTACACTTGCTCGTGGTTGATTAGGAAGGAGCGAGCCCAACCAAGTACCGGTTGTTTCTGGAGAAGAGACGTGGTAGATGGGGCCCCACGGCACCATCGGCAAACTTCCCTGGAGCCAGGCTGTCCAGGCAGACTGATTAGGCCAATTGACTCTTTATCAGGGTGCAGCTGATAAGGCTGCAGCCCCACAGGGGTGACGGATGTGGCTAGTGAAAAGAAGACGTAAGAAACCCTGCCATTTGTGGAGAGGTGGGGGGGAATCAAGTTCTCTCAAGAGCCCCTTTGTAAGTTCCAAGTGGTTTCAGTCAAGACGGGGTGCTGGCTCTCCTATGTGCTGCACCCACAAACTTAGGCTGTGCTCTTGCAGCTCTGGCTGGGCCCTAGATGATCTGCATATCTCCACGTCAGAGAGGGATGAAGATCGGCAAGTCTGACGGGTTTCTCTGTGACGCGCATGCTTGTTGGCCCAGGCACGCCGGCACCCGCTGTCATAGCCTTCATCCAAACTTAGCACGTCCATCTGCGCATAGCTGGCCCCTTAGCTGCTCCTCAGGTCCTCCCCCACCCCCACGCCTGCTAGGAAAACAGACTTTAGCACATGAGGGGCAGCTGTCCCTCTCCCTATAGTCAAGGGTGGAACAGCTCTGAGGCGTGAGACCGCCTGCACTCTGCTCTCCTTGGTTGTACTATAAGGAAGTCCCAAAGCTTCAACCTATTCATATCAGAAACTCAAGTACCTGGACAAAGACTTTACTCTCTGTTAACTTCCCCTACTTTCTACTTCTCTTTGCCCCTCTGTTTTTTGTAAGACCGAAGCAGAATTCTAGTTACCTGGACTAAGGTGTTCGGTCAGTTTTTAATACTAAGGCCTCTCACGTGCTAAGCAAGTGTCCTGTCTCAAGCTATGTCTCCCACACACTTGTATTTTTTTAAATGCATGCATTTGTGCATGTGTGTGTGCCCGTTTGTGTACATGCAGGCACATGTGTGTGTGTAAAGGTGGGTTTATACATATATACATGTGTATGGGGAGACCAGAGGACAATGGTGGGCATCATCCTCAGGAATGTCCTCTACCACCTATGAGACATGGTCTCTCATTGGCCTGGAGCTCACCAATTAGGTTAGATTGGCTGACTGTGATTCCCCAGACATCATCCTGTCTCTACTCCCCAGGGACAATATTATAAGCACGTATCACCAGGTCTGGCTAATTTTGTGGGTGCTGGGGATCAAAATCAAGTCTTCGTGTTTATAAAGCAAGTACTTTATCGACTGAGTAGCTTCTCACACCTCTTTTTACTTTTTATTTTGGCGCGGGGTCTCACTAAGTTGCCCAGGCAGGCTTCAAACCTGTGATCCTCCTGACTCAGGCTCCCCATCCCAAGTCACCACCATATCCATACTTCCCCATTTACAAGCCTTTGCCACAAGACCAAGTGCTGCTACTTTACCGGAGAAACTCTGTTGATTCCCTGAGGTAATGCATTCTGCTCTCTGATAAAATGAGATGTGGTCAGAAGAATTCCCCACAGAGAAGAGGAAGTATCTAGACAGAGGAGATACAATACAGGAAACCACAGCCTGCAGCCTGGGTTAGAATTCAAAGATTTCCCTGGGAACATTGAAAATGCAAGTTCCAGAGCCTGGAATCCCTCAGCGTGTGGAGAAACCTGGGCAAGAGGAGAAACCTGGGCAAGAGGAGAAGCCAAGGCCAGGGGAGGATCCTCTGCAGGGGAAAGCCCAGGCCTGCTGAGCTCCTCCAAGAGAGACTTGGGTCAGGAAGAGGGGGGATGGCCCATTGGAGCAGCCCTTGTAAGGAGCTAAGCCTACAGGGTAGGACCTACAGGGGCCAGCCTGGCTTGCCAGGTTTCTACTAGGTAACCAGACACAGCCTTTAAGGACACCAACCCAGGGGGCAGGCAACCAGAAAGATATACAAAGGGATTCAGGGGATTTGGTTACCAAGTTGCACCAGCCATTTCCTGGAATCCGATGGGAGTGAGTTCTGAGAATCTGGGG